TTCAACATGCGCTCAGCTGTGTGAACCAATAAGCAGGCATATTTCTTGCCTTCTAAGCAAGCTGCAAATGATGCAGTCCTGCTGTGAAGTCTTACAAAGAAGGAATTACAATTATCATGCCTCCTGGTTTTGAAGGTGTGTTTTTTCTCTTGTGAGTTCGTTATGGGATTAATAAGAGTGTGGCCTGCACAAATTGCCCAGTTGGGGAGAGGGAACTCCGCTCATCTCCACTGCCTATCCATGCGAAAGGCTTGTCAGAAAAGACATCAGGGTCTTAACCCAGGTTCACCAGCTACCACAATAAGCAGGATTATAAGGGGGTGAACCTTCCCATACTGATGACCTGTATCCAGCAAAAAGACTTATTTTTTCCCCACGGCTGAGGACGAAGCAGCTCTGATCTCTTCAGCCCTCAGTAGTGTCCCAACATTCTTTCAGGCAGCAGACTAAATTTTTAGTGTCAATGTGGGGAGAGGGAAGGAGGGAAGAGAGGAAGAAACCTACAAAAACCCATCCATACATGCAGAAGGCCCGGTCAAAAAGTGGTAAGGGGTTGCTTCTTTTTCTGCATGGAAATAAAGATTCACCTTTGAAATCTTTCATGGACTGTTCACAGAAAAAGGAATGAAGTAAAACCATTTTCTTTCATATTGAAAGATTTTATTTCTTAAAAATAGAAAAGCCAGTTTTCTGGGTTACCATTTGTCTTCTTTCTTGCCCCCCTCACCTATGTGAGTATTAAAAAAAAAAAAAAAAAAGTCAATGGAAAATTTCAAAGGATCAAATTTTCTGTGAAAAATGTTGGACATTATTTGTCAAAACAAATAAAAATCACCCACTCTGTTAAACAATTATACCTATCATCAACCTGCTGAGGCTGCACTACAAAATATTTGAGGAAGTTCTTACCAAGAGGCTTCATGAATATGTTGAGTAGAGGTGTTTGTAATCTTTTCTTTTTTTAAACAAAATACAATTGTTTTTCTTCTTTGACAGTTTTTTTACAAGATGCTATCCTTCTCTCCCTCTCCCTCCCCAGTTTGTAGCTAACTTTGGCCTTGAGCAGGAAAGAAACCACAACATTAATACAGTTTTACTCAAAAGAACTAAATCAGTAAATGTTGTAAACATCAATTTCACCATGCACATAAAAATTTAAAAATATTTTCCTCAATTAAGAATCAAAATTTACAAATAGGCTTGAAAACTTAGTTTTATATAAGACTCTTTACTTTGTTACTGTTTTGACACAGATGTTGACAGTTTTTGTTTTAACATTTACAAAGCTTTATTTTTTTAAATCTCAATGTGTATTCTCACTAAATAATTATCTGACCTCCACCATAATTTCCTGTAATATAATGGAAATGGATAAAATAGTTATAGATAAATGTTTAAAATTATATCTATTTTAAAAATCCCAAATGTGCAGCTGTAAAAATGTAAATTGTTAAAAAATAAAGCATGTTTTAAAATAAGCACTGATATTATCTGTCAAGATTGTAGAAGTTTTGCCAAGACTAATTACAGGTGATTGAATAACATTAAAAACATGAATAAATTAGTCATAGATTGATGGAAAAATTATGAATAATTTGTCAAATATTATTTGACTATTTACAGAGCTGCCCAGATAAATTGGCGAATACATAATTTTTCTTAAGAAAAATATGGTATATACTACACACAAATATCATTAGATCAGATATTAGTTTCTGGTAATCAGCTGCAACCATGGTCAATTGGGTATGTCTACACTACAGAGTTTTGTCAGAAAAATGGCCATTTTTCCGACAAAAGCTGAGTTACATCCACACCGCAATCACATTCTTCCGAAATTAAATCGAAAGAACAGAGGGGTTTTTCCAGCATTTGTAATCCTCTTTCTAAGAGGAAGAAGCCTTTTTCCGAAAAAGCTTTCAGAAAAAGGCGTGTGTGGATGGGGAAGAGGGAGTTCTTTCGAAAGAAGAGGAAAGAGGAAAAAACAGAGGTGTCCTGGTGGTCACTCCTTCCATAGTAATCACAGCTTAAATGCAAGATAGCATCCATGCTGAATGGACGCTATCTTTCGAAAAAGCAGATCGCTTTTTTTGATGCACTTTTGCAGTGTGGACGCTCTCTTTTGGAAGAAGTTTTTTCGGAAGACCTCTTCCAAAAAAAGCTTTTTCCAAAAGAAACCTGCAGTCTAGACATAGCCTCATTCTGAAAGCTGCAGAGAGGTGCATTGTGACCAAAATGACCACCTGATGGTGACCTAAGCCACCTAGAAGATATATATGGCTCCAGAAAGAGAGGTCTCAAGATCAAAAGAAGTTCAGAAGTACAGGCAGTCCCCGGGTTACGTACAAGATAGGGACTGTAGGTTTGTTCTTAAGTTGAATCTGTATGTAAGTCAGAATTGGCGGTCAGTTTCAGCAGAAGCTGACTTGGGGACGCCTGGGGCAGAGCAGCTGGGGCGCTGCCGATTGGGCCTGCAGCGCCGCTCTGGGCACTACTGGACCACCCCGGCAGCACCCTAGCTGCTCTGCCCCAGGCGTCCCCAAGTCAGCTTCTGCTGAAACTGACCAGCGCTGACTACAGGAAGCCCGAGGCACAGTTGTTCTGCCCCGGGCTTCCTGGAATCAGCTGCTGATCAGTTGCAGCAGCAGCTGACTTGGGGACGCCTGGGGCAGAGCAGCTGGGGCGCTGCCGATTGGGCCTGCAGCGCCGCTCTGGGCACTACTGGACCACCCCGGCAGCACCCTAGCTGCTCTGCCCCAGGCGTCCCCAAGTCAGCTTCTGCTGAAACTGACCAGCGCTGACTACAGGAAGCCCGAGGCACAGTTGTTCTGCCCCGGGCTTCCTGGAATCAGCTGCTGATCAGTTGCAGCAGCAGCTGACTTGGGGACGCCTGGGGCAGAGCAGCTGGGGCGCTGCCGATTGGGCCTGCAGCGCCGCTCTGGGCACTACTGGACCACCCCGGCAGCACCCTAGCTGCTCTGCCCCAGGCGTCCCCAAGTCAGCTTCTGCTGAAACTGACCAGCGCTGACTACAGGAAGCCCGAGGCACAGTTGTTCTGCCCCGGGCTTCCTGGAATCAGCTGCTGATCAGTTGCAGCAGCAGCTGACTTGGGGACGCCTGGGGCAGAGCAGCTGGGGCGCTGCCGATTGGGCCTGCAGCGCCGCTCTGGGCACTACTGGACCACCCCGGCAGCACCCTAGCTGCTCTGCCCCAGGTCCTGATTCAGCCGCTGCTGGTCAGTTTTAGCAGTGGCTGAATCTGGACGCCAGTTCCGACTTACATATAGATTCAACTTAAGAACAAACCTACAGTCCCTATCTTGTACGTAACCCGGGGACTGCCTGTACATGAGAGATCATCTTGGCAATCACAACCTGGCAATCACAACCTGTCTTTTATTTCTTTCATACAAATAAAATATTTCTGTAATAAAGCAAGGATGCCTAAGAAGATCTAATGATCGTATTTATAAATGGGAAAGGTTGACAAGAGCTAAAATGTCTTGCTCAAGGCCACAAAGAAAATCATCATCAGAGATATAACTGGAACTCAGAAATATCCTCTCTCAAAATTCTGTGCTCTTGCTGCTGGACCATGACTTTCTGTAACAAACAATACCTGAGATAAGATGTGACCCACAGACCCTAGAACTCATTGGAAGGATTTTCATTGATGCCAGTGGATTTTGGATCAAGCCCATAGTTTGCTCTTCAATAAAGACTTTCACACTTGCAGAAATTGTTTTGAAGTGATCATCTGTACAAAATAGCAATGCACACAGCGATGATATTTTCTTTAAATATTTAAATAGAAATGTTTCCCCTTCTGACAGTTCTGTCCCACAACACCAGCTCCAGTAAAGCTATGATCCATATTTATAATAATCATAGGCTGTTGTTAGACATGGTAGTCTGCTTATCAAACAGTTGGCTGGTAAGCCAAATACTCAACTTTCCTTATGTGCAGGGGCTTTCAGATTCAAGGGTCTGGCATGAACCCATCTGTAAATAAAGTGAATAAATAAAGTTTTAACCAAGAGTACAAATTTAAAATAATGGAAGATCTTTAGTGAGTTTTTCTTTTTCTTCTGTAACATGACATAGGAGCACATGGCTATTTAAGAAAATATTAGCCTTGTGCTGTCTCACAGGCTGAGTTTATCTCATGTTCAAAAGCTTCAGAGGGGTAGCCAGGTTAGTCTGTAACAGGAAGAACTTAAAAAAACAACAAATAGTCTGGTAGCACTTTAAAGACTAACAAAACATGTAGATGACATCATGTGCTTTCGTGGGCACAGCCCACCTCTTCGGATGACCGGAGTGTTGGATGTCTAAGATGGTATGTGTTTAATAGCTGCCCTAAACCCAACATTTCAAATTTGGTGTATAACGTTAGCCTTGTAAAGCATATTTTAAGCACTCATGTAAAGAACCTGAGGGTGGGATTTTCAAAAGCATATATGTGAGTTGGTATGAAAAGTCCCATTAACTTTAAATGGGGCTTTTGGGCCTAGACTGCTTAGGTGTTTTTGAAAATCCCACCTCGAATTTCTAAAACAGTGGCATTCAAGTTGCCCCTAACAGTTAATAGCTGGATGCTGGATACTCAAAACTTTTCAAAATTAGGTCAATTATTTAGATGCCTAAATATGGACTCATGAGCCCCCACTTTTGACAGTTTGGGCCTAAATCATTGTCCTCCTTTGTTTCCAACAAAGTGAAGAAAAATTGAAATCTGCGACAGTGGCTTATCAGACTCAGATTGTTTGTTTGTTGTAAAGCACAGCTGTCTGCTGAGTGCCTGCTCGTGACTGACAAACAAATGAGTTTACCCTTCATGTATTTGAAAGTGATACTGTGAATCCACATCCCGTATTTTAATTTTTATGTCCTTCTTTGTCATTTTCCCAATGAAAATGATCCCAGCACTGATCTCAATGTTAATGTATTCCTGCTTACATTTGACTTCTGAATATGTTATGGCTAATTATCATTACACAGGACGAGAGATCAGAGCCCTGAGTGAGGTGCTTGGTGCGGGAACAAAAGGAGGCCAACTCTGCATCTTGGCATTGGGCCCAACATTTGCAATGGAGCATCTTGAAACTGGTAGGGTCTGTTTTTATGGTTTTTTTAAAAAAATAATATTTTTTAGTAGGGGAGGAGCAAGAACAGGGGCTAAAATTTCCCCTTGAACATGATGTCAATATGTTGGCATGTCTCCTTTTATTAAGATGCCATCCAACTGATAACAAGTCCTGCTGTGTTTTACCAACATAAAAAATTAGACTGGAGACCGAGGAGCGGCAGGTGGCTTTTGGCACCAAGAAATAATCACACTTGATGTGGAAAGTAAAGTAAAAGGAGCCATCTGTTCACTGCAGGAGGACGTGAAAAATCACATTAACATATTGTCACTAACATCATGAAATACACAGTTAATAATAAATTTAGTTATCATGGCAAGCTGCATTGGATGCTTCCTTAGAAAAAAGTAGCATGTGGAAGATGTATTTGCTCGCACTGTCTTATTGAGATATATATATTTGTTTGAAAGCCTTATCCGTGCCATTTGTCACTGCCTTTGTGAGCAGACGTGTTTCTCTTCCACTGGGAGAGTGAATGACTTTCCTGATTCCCTCTCCTCCCTTTGCCCTTTAATCTGCCGTGCTTAGCTCCATCTTTCTTCCCTGACTGGCAGGCAAGCACACTAAATGGAGGAAAGAACGAAAGAGAGAAAATCTTCTGAGTAGGTAGTTGCAATATGCGTTATGGGCTCAATCCAAAACCCTTGTAAGTCAGTTGGGGTCTTTCCATTGGGTTAGGCTCCTGGTATCAAAGTCATTCTTGGTATAATTTATTTCCTTCTCTGCTGGCCTTGTATCCGTTGGACTAAAATTACTAGTGTTACATCAGGGGCGAATATGGCCCATAGTATCATCCCATCAAATGACGGAAGCCAGTTTGTTTCCCCCTTCTCCTTAACAATAGAGAGCCTTGCAGGTACCCTGAATCCGTCACATCTGCTCAGTACACAGAAAGCTGCTTTGGGAAAATGAGGGCACTTAACTTCAAGCTTAAGTCAGTGGGTTGCCGTTCATTTTAAATAGCAGGGTTCCCTTTAAAGAGAGGTTTTGTGGACTTGTCTAAAGCAAAATGTGTTTATTGAGATTAGATTTAGATCAAGGCAATTCAGTTCAGCTCTGAAGAGCAGCTTCGTAACAAACCAAAACGGGAGAATGGTATTGCATATGTATCATGTTTTTCAGACTTCAGTGTCAAATGGGCTCAGTTTACAAGCAGAGTTATGGGGAGTTTTCCCTAATGTCCCTAATGCAAACACGCTCAGGGCTCTGAGAGCAAAGTCGTTTTTTTTTCCTTCTTGTGCATCACCTCAGTTCACTGGCAATGCAAGTTCTTCTTCTACCCAAATTAGTGATTGAGAGATGTCAACACAATGTTATTGTTTTCAGGCTGGAATGAGAATGGAGATATTTTGCAATCCACAAAGGAGAGAGGACAGGCTACATACATGCTGCAGTCAAATAATAATCTATCAGTGCATAGCTGGAGACATGAGTCCAAATCAGTTGTACTTGGTCATGTGGCATAAATATGATAAGTGCAGCTTAGTCCTTTGTGGATATTTGTGCATAGCCACATTATCTGCCATATATATTGGCTGATTTTTTTTCCCCGTCAGGAGGGGCCTCTTAATGGAAGGAAAGTGTCTTGCAGATCAGACTGAGGTTCATTAGCAGAGCTATGTTGGATCTTTTTTCCTGAGTGCCAGGCTGCTCTTTGCCCTGGCATCAGCAACAGTAGTAAAAATCACTGTAAGAAAAAAAAAAAGAGTACATTGTATCTGTGTAATCAGACGTGTCTCGCTTTTTAGGTATCTCATTAGCTACCACTGCGGATGTACTAAAAGGTGGCTCCATATAGGCATGCCCAGTTCTCAAAAGCAGCACTTCTGAGAGGATTGTAACACTGTTTGAGATGGTTAACCATTTGAAGCAGGGGCAGGAAAACTCCCGAGATCAAGTTTTCTCAGTGAGATTTCGGGTGTTTCCTCATGATCCAGAAAATCCACATGAATACCTTCTATTGTTGGCTGGATCTCAAGAGCCCAAAGGTGTGAACAGGAGAAAAAAAACTGAACAGAACATTTTCCGAATAATGGTTCGCTTTAAAGGGTGGGGCAGGTTTGGATCCATTATGTTTTTCACCCATTCCTAATGAAAACAATGCAGACTGTTTGGCCTCTGACATTTCACTACATTTCACAGGAAAAAAGTGACTTGTGGGACAATTCTGTATAAACTGACAGTCACGTTGGGTTCTGACAGGCCTTTTTTGTGTATTAGGTATTTCATTATATACATGGCGGATCTCTGTGATTGCGGATAGGGAGGGGAGGCAGATGGACTCTACAAACTGCCTGAGGGGACAGGAGAAATGAAACTTCAGAGCTCTAACACACCCTGAGTTTCCTCTTTCATCACAGTAGCTAAAGGACCCATAGAGACAGGGAAAATGCAATGATCTCCTGGAGGAACTTCTGGGTGGCTGGCATTGAAGTGAATGGGTGATCTCCAGTTTCATGAGAAGTGTCTCCCGCAATGTGGCAACAACATTTTGACACACACACAAGGGGGGATTTGAAGGCTGCTGTCATGACCATGAATGGATGCGCTACATAATGATGAATTTTAATGTTCTTTTTCTTTCACTTGTTTATCTCCCCCCTCCACTTTTTCCTTATCTCTGAGTATCTTACATGCACCTATCTGTGTGCTGGATTCCAGGTGTGGATGTCCTGCCTGGGAGCAATCTCCTTACAGCTGATTGTATCATACAAAAAGTGTCCTCTGACTATCGTCGTGAATAGAAGCTGCATGTTGCATAAGCTACTATTTGTGGAATCATGCTTTTATGTTGCTCACGAGTATTCAGAGAGATTCTGGGCATTCCCCAAATTATTTGCCAATCTCAATCACGTTCAAAATTTTAACACGAGCTATGACAGTTCATTGTTTGTATTCTGTTAGCACCTAGAAGATGTTAGTGCAAGTCAAAGATCTGGAGCTGATTGTTCTAGGTGTGGTACAAACACGGAATGGAGATGACCCTGCCAATCTAAGACAAGAGATAGTAGGTGAACACACACAGGTGAGCATAAGGTAACAATGAGACCAGTAAGGGTACGTCTAAACTACATGCCTCTGTCAGCAGAGGCATGCCCTGTCAGCAGAGGCATGTAGATTTGTTTGTTCAGCAAAGGTAAATGAAGCTGCGATTTAAATGATCGCGGCTTCATTTACATTTACATGGCTGCCGCGCTGAGCCGACAAACAGCTGATCAGCTGTT